GTTGTTGTGCGCGTGTGTGTGTGTGGTAGCCTATCCGTTCCGTTTCAAATGTTTGGAGCCCCGAGGAGCGTGCTCTTCGCCAGGGCCACCGCCCCTAGGGTTGTTGTTGTTGTTGTGTTGTTGTTGTTGTTGTTGTTGTTGTTGTTGTTGTTGTTGTTATTGTTGTTGCTGCTGCTGCTGCTGTTGTTGCTGAGGTGGTGGTGATGGTTGTGGTAGTTTGCTCGTGCTGCTGCTGTTATTGTTGCTGTTGTTGTTTTTCTTGTTTTTGTATCAATTTGCTGTTGTTGTTTTTGGTTTTTTATTATATTTTTTTTTCTCTAGATGAGTTCACGAAAAGTAAGTAAAAAGAAAACGAGCACACAATTTGGAATGGATAGCAATAAAAGTAATCATACTGTACAAGAAAAGAATTACAGATCGAGTAGACTGCTTCACAGCCCCCAGACCGGTGTAGAAGTTAGGTGCTTTGCTGTCGTATGCAGGGGGCTCTTGTGGCCTAGAGCTTAATAATAAGGTGTTCGCCTCTCATTCAACGGTCCCGGGTTCGAATCCAGGTAGCGACGGAAATATTTTCTTTTCTAAAATAGTCTCTTTTCACCTTCTTTCCTGCTCTCTAGCAAAGTTCTGTCGTCTGCTTTTATATCCACTTTCTGCCCCCACCCCCTTACCTCCTTTGCCGGCTCCTGACTCTTTCTGCAGCCTTTCTACTGCTACTCCTTGGCTCCTTCTTGCAGCTGTGTTTCTGCCACACCCCTGATCTTCTGGTAAGAAAGATCTACTCCTAGCCTTCTCGGACAAGGGCGAAAAATCTCGGAGATCCCATGTTCAAGTTGTGCACGTTAAAGATCCCTTGATGGTCCAAAATCGATAAGAGTAGGCTTCAGCCGTCAAGTAGGCAAAATACAAAATTTACTGCTAACTGAAAAATGTTTAGTGTTTTCCGTACTCTCGAATGACCTTATGCAGTTGCGAGCGCCGTAAAACACTTCCAAAAACACACACAAAATGTCGGATGCAGGAGACCTGGGTTCGATTCCCTAGTGTTGGGTTGTTGTAGCCTTCTCAGCCTGAGTTGCCCTAACAGGCAGGTTCGGAAGCCAGCCCCCTTAACTGTCTAAATCGTATCGATTTGGGTGGAAAACACCTGCATATTTTTAAGAGCCCCCCCCCCCCAACCCACTTCCAGTGACGTTATGGGGAGGTTGTGGTGGCCCGTGGTCTGCAACTGATGAAATCTGAATAAAGCATTAGAATTAAACGAATTGACAAGATAAGCGAATTGTGTACTTGGCTTACATATATACAACAGGTTTAAAAAAAAATAAAACTAGCGACGTTTCGGAACATAAACATATGTGACAGTAAAATACTATTGTGGTTTATGTCCACTGTAAATGATGTCTGCCTGAACGGGCGAGTTGATTTCACATTTAGTATAATTAGCAAGTTTTTATCGTGTCTTTATCGTCGCTACAGGCTATGATTTATGAAAAAGGATTAAACAGAAAATGTTTAAACGTTAAGAAAAAAATAAAATAAATAAAAAATTCAAACACAAAAACTGTTACAACGTATCAACGACCATTTAGCTGATTGCATCCAATTTCTGTCAAAGAATGCGTTACAATAGTGAACAGAATACAAATAAAAGCTCGGATCCTGTAAATACTTTCAACACGGATCTTGTAGAGAACAAAAAATTAGTTGTTCATGGTTTCACTTTGACAACTACGCCCATTTTAAAATGCCTTTTACGGGGTGCCCACTACAGCTGGATCGGGCCGATCGCCCGACTTGATCGCCTGAAACTGAAAACAAATTGGCCTACGTTTGTTTTTGAGGCGATCGAGTCGGGCGATCGGCCCGATTGGGCACCCCGTATAACTGATTCTTTGAGCAGTTTAAGGCTGGGGTATGCGAGGCAGACTTCAGGAACAATTAATGTTGAAGTTTCGAGGTGACTGGTGTGGACATTAGACCGGTTGTAACAGTGAACATTGGTCACTTAGTCCACGTGCCCCGAATGCCTGCCCTGTGTCACAAGTCAAAGACGACATGACGTTGTCTTCGACCCATGAAATACTCAGGCGTCTTTACCATTTCTTCCCAAGTTGTGTGAAGTTCTTTCTATTGGATTTTTTCCCTCTCCAACTTTTCGTATATTTCTAACAGAATTCAAACTCAGAGGAACGAGTCTTGCCATTTCAACTATTCTCACTGATAGTGTGCAGTTTCCCTTTGCTTTTCGTTTCGTTCTGTTCGGATTCAGAGACAAGCCAATCACTTAATTAGTGTCATGCCTCGTTGGCTTGAAGTGCCCGGTCGTCGTCATGTTTCTGGCTGGACCGCCGTTTTAAGCAAGTACAAGGTGCCGTACGAGCTATGCCACTGCTGTTTTTTTGTTTGTTTGTTGTTGTTTTTTTGTTGTTGTTTTTTAACCCTAAAGTTACTTTTTCGCTACCCTAGAATTGCAAATTTCTATCCGCTCAATACCTACTTTTGATTTTTTTTTTTTTTAGTTTCACAGCATGTCAAGCATTTTCGAAAGCAATTCTTTGAATATTCTGACAACGACTCCGAACAGCCTTACGGTTTTTATAGAACTGACGGATTACTTGTTTTCTGACCTTGCGATCTTAGTTACTCGAAAAGGCCAGAAATGTCAGGAAGAACTTTGTCATTCTAGCCTAAGGTGGCGCGTGACGCTTGAAGCAGGCCTACCGGTTATGGATAAAACAAAAGTGAATTGTGTAGGCCTACTAACGTTAACGAGAATGCCTCGTTATAGGCCTACGTGTCCCCGAAAGAGCTATTTTCAGCCTGACTGCATTACATTCCTTATCACCAACATTAAATTATGGAGAAAATTCATGCCCCCCCGGTTTAAAAATTGCAAATGCGAATAGAAGGTAAGACGACAAAGTGAATGCTTGCTTCCGTTCTCTCAGGAAACTCTTCGTAATTGTAAGTTTCTATTTAGCACAGGTGTACTTCCGTGAGAATGTTGTACTGACTGCTACAGCATTCGGTTTGATAAACACCCTTATTATTTAACTGTGCTTTCACGCTAGTGACCAATTGTCTATTCACCTTCAGACTTAAGTGAGAAAGAGTGATGTCAAACGGACATTTGTCCAACGGTAGCTCTATTCCAAGATTTTCAATGCAGGTAATAAAGTAGATAAGATAAATGTTCTCAAGGTTTTTCAACGTCACTGCCATTGCCACTCATGATCTCTCAAGCCAAGTCACTCACCCAGGTCCAGTCAGACTTGTTATTTTGTGTATGTTGACAAGATCCTGGATTCCTGATCTACTAGATCTAGATCTAGATTTAGATCTAGATCTAGATTTCTAGATCTTCTTCTACTATTTTACAGTTGTACATCCATCTTCTTGGTCATGCAACTCATGTTGTTATTTTTGTTAGGTAATTTTATACTTGGGCTTGGGTAAATATCATCTGGGGGCTCTCGTGGCCTAGAAGTTAAGGTGTTGGCCTCTCATTCAAAAGGTCCCGGGTTCGAATCCGGGTAGCGACCGAAACAATTTCGGCTGGATCCAAGGTCAGCGGGGCCGAAGGCCCCATCGCGGCCGATGAATGCGCGGGGATTTCGGGATTATATTACGGCTATAAATGGAAGGGATGGCTCCCTATATAGAACGTATTGACAAAAAAGACAAAAACGGGCGTTTTGGGGTTTCTAGACTTAAAAAATGAATTGAGCAAGAAGTGTAACTTTAGCTGTTCGGGAAATTGAAATGAGAACTTAAAATGCTCGTTAAGGATTGAAAAAAAATATTTACGGATTGGGTCGGAACTACTTTTTGCTCCCTAAATTTAGCTGACTTGGGAACTCTCTCCGGAACTACTTCTGGTCAAATCTGTTATTCTGTAACTGTAATAGTATTCTTATATGGGGAAAACGATCATAAGAGGAGTAGATAAAAACCAATGTATGGCTTTTTAAGGCTTTGTTTATGATACCTTATTAATGATGAGAGTTATATGACGCTAAGAGGTGCAATATTTAGGACAATGACGCTAATCACCGCATGTAAATAGGGCAAGGGTATATAAAGCGTGAGTACTCACCCCAAGCTTTAGTTTCTGCATTGGTGCCAGCTTTAGTTTCTGTATTGGTACCATGGTGTTTACTGTGTTTGACCTTCATGTGTTGAGGACTTCCGTAACGAGCGACCACTATGAGACAGAGCAGCTAGGGGTAGGGGCAGATCTAGGGGTAGGGGCAGGGGTAGGGTAGGGGTAGGGGTATTGAGGGCTAGGGGTAGGGGAAGGGGAAGGGGCAGCGGTAATTGAGGGCTAGGGGTAGGGGCAGATCTAGAGGTAGGGATAGGGATATTGAGGGCTCAGAGCAGGATTGAGAGCTAGGGGTTGGGGCAGATGTAGGGGTTGGGGTATTGAGGGCTAGGGGTAAGGGTAGGGGAAGGGCTAGGGGTATTGAGGGCTAGGGGTAGGGGCAGATCTAGGGGTTGGGGTAGGGGTAGGGATATTGAGGGCTCAGAGCAGAATTGAGGGCTAGGGGTAGGGGCAGATCTAGGGCTAGGGGTATTGAGGGCTAGGGGTAGGGGCAGATCTAGGGGTAGGGGTATTGAGGGCTAGGGGTAAGGGTAGGGGTAGGGGTATTGAGGGCTAAGGGTAGGGGCAGATCTAGGGATTGGGGTAGGGTTAGGGTTAGGGGTCGACAACCATGAGACAGAGCAAAATTGAGGGGTAGGGGTAGTATAGGGTTAGGGTTATGCCTCTTCTTTATTATGTTTGATGGGGTGGTCGCCTGTTACGGAAGTCCTTAATTACAGTGGAAGGTAAGTTGTGAGATATTTCATTGAGATTTACGATGGTTGAAAGGTCAGGGTAGTTGTCATTCGTATAACCGTGAGTAAAATACAAACTATACACACATTTGATTAAATGAGCTATTACAATGACCAGGGGAGTATTCCAGTTGTAGTGATTGGTCAAACACGCGTATGAATACTTGTTGGAGGATGTAAACAAAGATGGCGCATGCAGGGACATTCGAGTGGATTTTCAGATTCTTTTGTCGACTTTGGACGTAGTGAATGCTTTTATATCGTGTTTAGAACTCAAATTATGTTTTTTGAATGGATATTGTAGTTCTAGAAAGCGTTTTAATTGTTAAGTGGTTAATAGGTTTTTTTTCTCATTTTGGAGGGAAATTAACACTTTTGCTGGCGTATTAATATTTTTCCCGATTTTTCCCTATTATTTCATTGTATTGACCTGGTCTGCTTGGATTTTACCGAATTTTCTTCTCTAAATTTGTCTCCTTTCTTCACCTCATTTCCTGCTCTCTAGCAATGTTCTGTCGTCTGCTTTCGTCTCCTCTTTCTGCCCCCACCCCCTCACCTCCTTTGCCCCTTCCTCTGGGCTCCTGATTCTTTCTGCAGATTTTCTACTGCTACTCCTTCGCTTCTTCTTACTGCTGTCTTTCAGCCACACCCCTGATCTCCTGGTAGGAAAGAAATACACCTAGCCTTCTCGGACAAGGGCGAAAAATCTCTGAGGACCCATGTGCAAGTTGCGTACGTTAAAAATCCCTTTGTAGTCTAAAATCGATAAGAGTAGGCTTCGGCCGCCACCCGAGCAAAATTAAAAATTTCCTACCTACTGAAAATACTAGGTGTGTCCCGCGTGCTCATATGACCTTATATATCCAGTTGCGAGCACCGTAAAACCCTTTACAAAAACAAAACAAAATATCATCTAGAATCTAGACTAGATTCTAACCCTTTTGTGCCGCAGGGTCAATTTATGCTTTCATTGAGCACAATTTTGGATCTCCAAGGATGAAGGATGGCACTTTGACTTGTTGTTATCATTCTATTGCCTGTAATTAGGTCCAGTTTGGGCACTAGTCGAGTAGTGATGTCCTGGGCAGTCATTTTTGGGAAGCCAGTGGCTATTCTCCGGCGTCGCGCCGGTCAATAGACCGGAAGCTATTCTCCGGCGCCACACCACCGGTCTATTAGTAATGAACTACAATGTATTTGTCGGCGCAGATTTTGAGATACAATAACTAGGCCTAGTAAGTCTACCTTTCTTGATATTTTATCTAGATGATAATTGTCTAGCGTAACTTTATTCATTTATTTGAGTCGTCCATTTGCTTATTTTAAAATAATGATTCTGTTTACTTAAAACAAACAAAGTTGATTTTGTGTCTAAAATCCAGTCTAGTCATAATATAGTATAGTTTGATGTTTAACTTAGATCTATTTTTTGTTGTTGTAATTTTCGATAAATTTAACTGATATTTTGGGACTTCAGTGCTTTCTTGTCGTATCTCCCTTTTTGGAAACAGTGAAAAGTGACTTCTTCTTATGCTCACTCTTTGGTTGGTATGAACTCGCATCACTAGTGGTGAACACGTTCTTCTAGCACCTATCATAATTATAAATTGGAGAAATTGAGGCAGTTTATTTTTGAAAACCTATCGTCTGTATCAATGGAAGTGGCTCGAAGTGGTGAAGTTATAATGCACAGCGGATAAAATACCGTCCAGACCGCTCACTTAGTTTTCCTTCCCCGGTTCCTCCTCGACCATCCTCACCACCCTGCCCGCCCCG